ACTGCCTCATTATCAAGGAGGAGATGAAAATCGTGTAGAAGAATTTCTTCCTCCTCGTTACAGTCAAAACATATTTTTGAAACTACACAATGGAGAGACTCGTTTCAATGAAGGAGTTCACAGCTCAATTCGGCCACTTACAGCTGAAGTGCGACCTGACTAAGCTGGAGGAAAATACATATATCTTGGGGGCCTGAAGCTTAATATTAGCAATGTGGTGTAATTATGACCGTACTTGACATCGGAGGATGTCAAAACACAAGCATTGAAAGTATAAAGACAGCAGCAGCAGAGCCAACAGCCACCACCAACCCGGCAGCCACCCACAATTGGAGACGCTGGCAGTAGCACGCCACAAGAGTTGAGAAAATTGGTTCAGATACGGAGAAAGCCACCATCAGTGAGAAGACGCCGATTGTTGTGCCCACCAGAAAATGTTTCAAATGCCACAGATTTGGGCACATAGCTTACAGCTGCCCGACGAGCATAGTTGTAACTTTTAACGAGCAGAGTTATAACTTTTACCGAACAGAGCATCGTCGAAGAGGTTAGCGAGGAGCAGGAAGCAGAGGAACAGTGTGAGGATGATCAACTTACACCATATGATGGAGAAGCACTTGTGGTTCGACAAATTCTGAAGGCCGAGGACACAAGCGATCCGCAGTAGTTTCGCCGCAACATTTTCCACACCTACTGCACTATGAACCGAAAGGTACGCAGTCTTATCATCGATAGCAACAAGAACGCGGCATCAACTTAGATGATAGAAAAATAGAGACTCACGACTTAGAGGCATTCCCAGTCATATTCACTGACATTGTTAAAGAAGAAAGACAGCGTCAGCATCGTTCGGCAATGCCTAGTAGAGTTTTTAAAAGTGTATCAGTTGCAGGATCAGATATGGTCTGATGTGGTTCTCATTGATGTCTGCCACCTTCTACTAGGAAGACCGTGGCAATTTGACCAAAAGACTAAGCACGATGGATTCATAAACACATATTCATTCACCAATGATGGTAAAAGCCTTATTCAACTTCTTTCGATAACACTCGAGAAGACAGCAGCCCTTACCAGCAGAGTGACAGGACCGGTTTTAATGATAATTGATTCTCAGCCATCAAGGCCACTAACATGCCAAAAAATTTCAGTGCAAGCAGCTCAGACCAAGATGGAGGTGCGCTCGTAAGTCTAAACCTTAGATTCCTGAAATAATTGTTCCTACTTGAGCCACTCCCACTTGTTTTTTTCCACGTCCTACCGTGAAAATCTAAACCTTGAAATCTTGAAGACTAGAACTACTGATCATTATCGAGAGTTTTCTCAAGTGACTCCAATCATTTGAGATGTAATTAACTATAGGGGCTTGCCTTTATAGGGAACTTGGAACCCATGTAAAATAAACTCTATTTAATCTTTGTATTAAATAGGAAAATTTGTCAGTCATATATAAAAGGTTCGCAGACCAAACGAATGTCACAAATCTCTTAGTTTGCAGGATTGGGCCTATTATCGGGGTCTACACTTTTCTCTTGGAATGTGTAGTATTCAGGGTGTCAGGCACGATTATGCAAACTATTAGACAGATGAGATCCATTTGGTCTCATTTTTCGAAAATTAAAACATACTACTTTCAAAACTCAAACTACATACCTCTTATACTTAAATTAAATTTCAAAAATTATTTTCATATACAATATTTTCAAATCTATTAAAAAGTTGACCGACAACGTGTCATGACCACGAAACCAGGACCGGTACCGATTTGCCCTTATCCGGGAAAATTCATCATGTCGGGGTACTAGCCTTAACTCCGGCACTTCTACGTCCATTTAGATATTGAGAGACCCAACTTCATTGATCCAGATTCTTCTGAAGCCAAAGGGAGTCGTCGAGATCTCCCACGCACAATTTGGGAAAATTTGGGTTTGGGCCGATTTTACCAAAAAAAAAACCAGTTTGAAACTCCTAAAATGTTAACTTCTGAGTTACAAGATTGTATATTAATAATACTCAACTTTTTGTGGCTTCCGGACCGAAGAGCACCTTCTTTCAGTCACCCGAGCCAAAATTAGGGCTTGTAGCACCCTACCAGCGCCACGATCCATAACTCCCATTGGTGGCGATTTACCCAGCAAATGGCGGATCAAAATACTCAATTTTGAAATTATGGGATTATCTTTCACTCATATGAAATCTCCCGTAGCTTACAGATGATAAAAATCCTTCGTTTGGCGCTCCAGATGTAAAAAATCCTTCGTCTGGCGCTCCAGATGTACATCAAGGTTTTCGAAGCTAAACCGGTGCCTAGGCCCCAGCCCCGGGTGCATAACCGAGCCCATGAAATTCTGACACCAGTTTCTGACGCCTAGAACCCAAAGCGCTCAAAACGACATGTTTTCACAAGAGACGGGAAAGTAGGCACCACCTTTGTGGCGCATAGAGCCCTGACACCAAGGCACCAGAGTCGCGGTGCCTACGCGCCAGTGTAGTTTCCCTTGAACAAACTAGCCTGCACACCATAACATCCATCCACTCTTGCTAACAAAGCCGGTAAAACACGACACCTCTGGCAAAATTGATCCAAAACGGACTTGTGAAACCCCTTCAACCACCCCAGATTCTAAAATACGCTCTCCATCACAGATTCTCCTTTCATCCCATTTAATCTCTAAGTTATTCAGCTTTTTGTCGTTACATTAACCTCAGAAAAGTTTAAAAAAACAAAAGAAACACTCATATAATTTGCTTGCAAGATTCAAAGAGGGCTGAGGTCAAATCATAACCTGAAGCCGCAGCTCCGGAAACAACGGCCTGCATGTAGATTTCGGGAAGCTCTCCAGCGGATCCGATAACACCTCCCTGTACGAGCGCACTCCCAATTCCAGAAAGAATCACAGCAGCGACGGTTACATCATAGGCGCTATAAACCCCCCTCGTTGTTTGAACATAGAAGGCATCGAGAACGGGAACAACGACAAGCGAGACGGTGAAGATGACCAAACCAGCGTTGATCCGAACAGTGGCCGACGA